GGCCGAATCGACCGGTTCTCTGGCCAATGAAAGCAAAGTATTGGTACTATTCTCGGGCGGAACCATCGGAATGATGAAGAACCATAAGGGAGGTTTGTGTACCATCATGATACGATTACCTTGACACTATTTCTAATATAAATATTTGTATAGTATATGCGCCAAAAGCTGGTGCTTTGGTGCCGGCCCTCCGAAAGTACCCCCAACTCCACGATCCGGAATATGTGATCAAACATATGAAAATGCCTGAGAATCAGTCACCACTTGTCTTACCGTAAGTGATATTTGTTTGAAAATTATTTTATAATTTATAATTGAGATTTAATTTATATTATTTTCACTGTATTTTTTATAACGAGTTGTTTTTGTAAATAAAATTTGAAATAATTAGTGATAAGAAAGAGATTATATTGAAAAATATATTCAATGTTAACACAAATATCGATATTTAATAAAAACTAAATTATTTTGCTGTCATATGATGTGTCCGCACATCGGGCGCACCGTTTTGTGTCCAACACAGAGATACGGGCGAATCAAGTCGTGTTGTGTACACCATCTATGAATACGAGCCTTTGTTGGACTCATCCAACTTCACGGTTGACGACTGGATCACTATCGCACTCGATATACAGGTGCCCATTACTGTCCCGGACACTCAATCCCTTATTATTTGTATCCTATTTACCATATTCTTATCATTACTTCCTATAACAGCGAAATTACCATCACTTCAACGGTTTTGTTATACTTCACGGAACCGATACAATGGTATTGCACTTAATTATCAATTTATTTACTAAATATTATTTGTGATATCATTTTATTTCAAAGTCAATTTGCATTTAAATTATTTTATGATTTAATTAATAACAATTAATATTATTAACCGTTTTGATAATATAAAACAACTTTAATAGTTGAGCCCATCTTCTATAATATTGTATAATTTGTATTACATTTTTATATTTGATAACAATGTGACACTTGATATAACTTATATAACTTTTACAACACTTTCACTTACATTATCAGTATTTTATAAGTGTTTGATTGCAATTCAATTAAGACTTTATTATTAGTTACGGAAATAATCAAAACTAATTATAGATAACATATTTGTAATTGTAGTCATACACGGCGTCCGCTCTGTCCTATATGTTGGAGAATTTGGGCAAAACAGTGGTCATAACCGGGAGTCAAATCCCATTGTTTGAGCCCCGAAGCGATGGCCGCGAAAACTTACTCAATTCGTTGATAATTGCGGGCAATTATTGTATACCAGAAGTGACGATACTATTTAACAATAAGCTCATGCGAGGGAACCGCACCTGTAAAGTGTCCACAAGTCATTTGGACGCATTTGATTCGCCAAATATGGCCCCTTTGGTCACAATCGGCATCACTATTAATGGTAGGAAAATCAGAGATAAATTAGTAGTAAACCAATCAATAGTTACAATAATATTTGATTTTGTCAACCGTTGGGATCAGTCGACTGGAACAGTGTCTTCCGGTGGCCAACAGTTGCCAAGTTCTGCGTCCATTCGATTCTGTCGCCAAATGTGGGACTTTTACGACTGTTTCCAAGTATATCGTTAGAAACGGTCAGTTCTTTTGACATTTAATTTATAATCCAATCGCTATATAATCGATGCCTTTGACGGTTAGGTTCGGGCCTTTTTAACACATCCCATAGAGGGTGTGGTTCTCCAGACATACGGCGCCGGGAATGCGCCGTCCAATCGGCGCGACATTCTGGAAGAGTTCCGTAAAGCCACAGATCGGGGCGTTATTATTGTTAATATAACCCAATGCTGGAGCGGACAAGTGGTGGCCAGTTATGAGACGGGCAACGCTCTCGTCGAGGCCGGAGTCATATCCGGTTCAGATATGACACCCGAGGCCTGTCTCACCAAACTTTCATATGTTTTGAGTAAACAAGAGTGGGATAACAAACAGAAGAGAAAAGTAATTCATTTTATCAGTAATAAAGATACAATGTAATTGTCAATTATTATGGTCTCTCTCTCTCTCTCTCTCTCTCTCAACACTCATATACACAATATTATCAATTAAATTGCATTCAGTCAGACAATTGTCACCGCAATTAATATAACGTTTATATATAAGAAAATACACAAAAATATTACTACTAATACTGACACAAAAAGTTATTTTCAAACGACAAACGTATGTATAATACAAAAGCAATTAATTATTTGCACAAAACATTTTTTGATGGCTAACTGTCTAACAGTCGTAACTTATAATGAAACAGTTTTTTAAATTACTATTTAATTAATAATTATCATTATTATTATGATTATTGTAGTGGTTATTGATATATACATGTAATTGACTTTTTCTAATTCTTTATCACATCTCTTCCCCATTCTCTCTCTCTCTCTCTCTCTCTCTCTCTCTCTCTCTCTCT